AGAGAGGAAATGAGTTTAGGAAGACGTGTAAATGAGCTTAATAGAGTGTCTTCTGAATTGTGTGCAGCTGCGCTGTGGAGAGAAAGACATGAGATGAACATCTGGGCCTTTTGTCCGAAGCATGAAAGACAACGATTGCCTTTGTAAACAAGGAATAATTAGGGTTTCACTTGAATCCACTTCATGTATTACCAGGTTACACTGATGAGGTGTATTTACATGTAGTCAAATCCATTTACCTTTATTATTTTCTCTCATATCTACACACATGACAACGGAAAGAGTCTGTTTAAACGGCACCATCTAATATCAGGAGTGGCGCCTTATGATATTGACATTTTCTCGCGGTTTCCTGAAGCTACAGCTCCATCCAGTGGTCACATCTGAAGACATTCACGCAAACAGGCATGGTACAGGATAATGACTAAACCATTGAAATGTTCTTATTTACTTGATGTCCTTTTCTTGTTTTGTGGTTCGGTGCTCAATGTACAACCATAAAGCAGAGACATATAAATAAGGGAGCTACGACACATGGTGTGGTGGCAGAATATAAACGATTCAGGATAAACATAGAAAAACAAAACTGGTTTAAAGTAGGACTTCTGCTAAACTTAAAGTCAGAGAATCACTTAGTAAGATTACAAAAAAGGGTCCGATCATAGATAAAATGTACTGAGGCACCAATATCAGAGATTCAACTCAATAATGAAACACTAAATGTTCACTTACTGATGAGTTGATTAATGGTTACAAACAGAATAACACCACAATTTAAATATAAACAATAATAAGAGGAACATTTGTTCTTATTTGCTTCATGCATGAGGCCCATTTTGTGCGATAAATTACTTAAACAATGAATATATCATCAAAATTGTTGTTAGGTTAATTATATAACTGATACACAACATTACAAATGTAAAAACACTTGTTCTATTTCGATTATGTTGTTTTCATAATCGTTGCAAGTGAAAATCGTAATTGCGATTAAAGGTAAGGTAGGTAAGAATGGAGAAACCAGCTCGAGTGTGCTAGAATTTGAAAATACACAACCGGAAAAAATCTGCTCCTTCCTTCAGACTTCCTTACAGAGCCCCTCCTCCAACACACACGAACGCGCACATGACCAATGAGGGCACGAGATAAGTTTGTGCACAGATGGAAGGCTGACAGGCAGGTAGGCCATCCAGTTACTTTTACATATGCTTTTTACAGCGCCACGGCTTCCACAGATGAAATGTTTTAATGTATTTATTGTCAAAGTATTTAACATATTCATTGCTATCGGGATGTTAAGAGCATTCCATGGAATATAACAACACGTGTTTCTGAAGTGAATTACCTACCCCACCTTTAACTGAGCAGCCCTAAAAGCAGTCCTCACTCTCTCTCTTCTGCAAGCTTTATCTCAATAACACACATGAACATTATATGTTTGAGTGCAGTCAGCTGTGTGCTGCATTCCAAGCAGCCATCACTGTGAGCCGTTCATGCTGTATTAGCCTGATATGAGGCATTAAGACTCTGCAGCAAGAAAAGAAAAAAGCTGCTGATGCAAGCCTGCAACCTGCCGAGCAGCGGGGGGGTTCTGTGCAGGGAAGGAGAATATGTTTTCCCTTCATCAACAACAACTGAATTCAAATCAGATGAGCCCCATTCTGCTCCAGATGAGATGTTTAAGACACTAGAACCGCCAGAGGTCGCTGTATACCTAAAACCGCCAACGGGTCAAATTGACCCGCTATCGATTTTCAAGGTACAATGTTCTTTTATTTATCATGTAGAACAGTGAGTTCTGATCGCACAGGGATGAAACGTATACCAATAGAATCTGTGGACTCTCAGCTTTTCATGTGATATCGTTTGTGCAGATAGCATGAAGTATAAAATATCGCTACCAGTGCTGATTTAAACGCTTGGCATTAATGACTTGTGTTTTGTTAGCTACAAATCTCTCTATCTATCTATAACTATCTATCTCTCTCTCTCTCTAAGCAACCGCAGTAGACAAAAGGCGTTGTTATAGCAACACTGCATGTTTACAGTACGCTGCATTTTCTATGAGGTAATAAATATTACCCGCTGATGGGTATAAATGGAAAAAATGTTTGTGATTTTTTCAATCTGACTTCATATTGACAATGTTTAACAACAGAGGGTGCTACATAACACACTTTCAGGAAAAGTCACGGACTGGGAGACATAAAAAAGTGACATACAATAAAAAAACAGCTGCGGGTAAAATGGACCCGTTGGCGGTTCTAGTGTTAATAAGCAGCCCTCCACATAAAGCATGTGCAGCTGTATCACTGACAGGCAGCGTGGAGATGAGAATGAGCATGCACTCTCAGCAAACCTTCCCTGGAGGATTCCAAAAATAAAAATAGACTCATGAGGAACCAACATGGCGGCTCTGGCTTCCACAGCGGACTTGAGGAGTCAAGCTGCATAATAACAGACAAAATGGAGATGAAGAGAAACTGGTGAAAGGTTTGGAGGGCTGGGGATGATGAAGGTGAAAACACGTATGAAGCCGTGATAGGCTTTAGGAGCGTACCTGCTTCTTCTGCAGTAGGGGCATGTGCGTGCCCTGCAGGGGGAGGAAGGCAGGGGAGAGTAAGACACAGGGTGAGGAGAGCAGGGGGACAGGCAGTGTCCATCGTGGGGGGGGGCACACATGACGTTGTATTTTTACTACAATGCTTTTCAGGAAGGGAGAACAAAAGAATCAATACTACAAAGTAAAATCAAGTAAGAGTACTAAATTATTAGCATAGAAATATACATATTGGTTTTAGGGATTGAAGCCCATAACTGGCCTGAACACAGGTCGAGTGTCTCCGCAGGTAAAGCGGTAAACACACACCTGTCATATGTGATGAGAAGACAGATTTACTGTTCATTTGTTATTATGCAGAATGGCCCATTTCAGAATCATATATATGTTACAGCTGCTTATGGCCTTATGTCATTGCCTAATACTATTGGGGAGGGTAGATTTATATTTGTATTAATAATCTAGATATGAAGAATAAGTAGATAAATACATGAATAATGTTTGTTTCTGAAGTCATTTATTATAACCAGTGTACCTGCAATAGTGCAGCCTACACCTCTGAGTGTTAAGATGTGTTTGTGTTCTGGTGCGTCATCATACCGTACATTCTTTGCAGGTTTATGTCAAATACATGTGTTTATTTGAGTATGCAGGTATAACTGTTGCAGTATGTTTACTGGGAGGAGATTGTGTGTTTCGAGTCTGACCTGAAGCCACAGCATGGCAGCGTGAGGAGGCGCAGCACGGCCAGCAGCACCCTGAGGGGCAGCAGCGTGAACACGTACAGGAAGGCGTCCACACACAGGAAGAAGCCAAATGTCATCAGCTGTGTCAAACAACGATATGCAGAAAGAAAAACCTCCAGATTAAAAGAGAATAGCCTCGGGGGAAACAGTCTTAACAACATTGACTCGTGACCAGTGTCAAAAGGACAACAGCAATACAATAATATAATGAAATATATGTGACCTGTGTCTTCAGGTCAATGCGATCAGTCGCATTGACCTGAAGACACATTTTGAGTTGTATACACTGTTGGAAAGAGGAGATTCCTAGCTTTCTAATGATATCAGGATTGTTGTTGTTCTCCAAATATTAAGCAAAATATGCCACATGATATAATGACTGTCACCGAGTCATCATTTTGAGAAATCATCGATCTGATTGATTATTAGCGGAGAAAATGATCAGAGTAGTACGGAGGGAAATATTTTTGTTTGGATTACTGGTTTTGGGGAAGCTCGCGAGTGTATGTGTGCGTGTATGTGTGTGTGTGTATGTATGTGTGTGTTTGTGTGTGTGTTTGTGTGTGTGTGTGTATGTGTGTGTGTGTTTGGTTTGTGTGTATTGTGTTTGTTTCCCGGGGAACACCCTCACGAGAAACACCGGCTGTTGTTACGCCTGCTGTGACGTTAAGTTACTCAGTTCTCCGCTTGTAATTATGCCGAAGCTTCAAAGTTGTATTTATCATCTGAATTTTCCGAAACAAGTTTAATATTCTGAAAGCCAAGACTTTGTTTATTTGAAACCAGATGAAAACAAACTGTAACGGACCCTGCCGTGTTATCTATGATTACTATACTCTTACATTCATAATGTCAGCCGGAGGGAGGCGCTGCGGAACAGCAGAGTGGCGAGTGAGAGCTGTCTTCGTCCCTTTACGAGCTTCAAACATATATTTATCGTGTGGTTTTGGAAATAAAAGTTTCATATTCTGAAAGCCAAGACTTTGTTTGTTTAAAATCAAAGAAAGCACCGAACCCCGAAAAACGATTTATTTACGCAAATCCACGTTTATTTTGAAATGAGCCGTTTCGACTGATTTGGATAGAGCGGGTCAGGAGATGAGGATACACACGTTTCTTCACAGCTCAAACTCAAAGTCACATCTTTGTTCCATCAGAGAAGAAGCCAGCAGAATGTTAATAACCACATGTGACAAGAAAACAAAGACTTCTCCTGAATCCAATTAAGCAGCAAACACATACCTTCATAGTTCCCCACATACATACAGCCATTGCCTTGTCATATATTCAAAAGTAATGAGTAAATCTAAGCCAGCTGAAGTCTTCTTACTCCTAACTGGGAAAAACATGGAGGCACTGATGTAAGTTTTGGTGGGAGGGTTAGTCTCTTATTGGTGGATTCTGTGTGAGTGCCCATGACGTTGGTTGGTCTGCCTAACATAGTCAAGTCACTGAGGTTTTTGATGTTTACACACATTCCTCTCCTGCCCCCAAAGGCAGTGAGAGCTGCGTTACTCTGGGCTCGCTTGTTCGGATGTACCTCTGCAGAGAGAGTCAACTCAGCTGCAGAAACAATAGACAAAGACACAGAGCCATACTGAGAGATCTGTAAGCATATGTTCTGTGTAATAGCCTAGGTAAGGCTCCCTAACTGCTCATATGTTAGCCCTTTTAAGATACATCAGTCATGTATCATTCATTGTGAACAGAGGCAGATTCCTAGAAAGAGGCAGCACACACAAATCCACATGTGATGCGTCTACACTGCCTCCTGGTGGCTCATAAGAAGAACAACAACAACAAACAGCTGTCAGTCAGCCACATGGCCATTTCAAAATAATAATAATATTGTTTAACATACATAATTAATTAATTCAACAACATTGATGCAGTGTGTGTGTGCACCGTGTACTTGGGAATGCAACACATTATTTCTTTACTTACAGATTATTTTAAATATATGTTGTTTTATTTACTATATCGTGTCTTAAACTAATGACAATACAACATCCAAGAGTTACATTTTATAGTTACAAACTTACATTTGACTAACTGCTAATACAGTCAAACTTATGATATTGAATTGAAGCAAGTTGAATCTTTATTTGAGAAGCTTTAACCAACAACCCTTTGGTATGGGATGCTTGATAAATGAAGCGTGAACATTGCAGGACATTGACGTGACGGGCGGACTGTGAGCTGAATGAAATGATGACAGCACACAGCAGATGGAGATGACTGAAGGGAAACTATGAATAACGACGTATCATACACATGTGTACCTTCTCCAGCTCCTTGGGAATGCGCATGCATGTGTAAACTCTCTCTCTGCGCTCCGTGTACTTTGCCTCATTGTGCTCCAGGAAGTAGCCTCTGGTGAGCTCGGCGCTAATGAAGCGAGTCAACGATGGATCTGGAACAACACCAGAGCACATTGTTAGCACAAGGGCATTGTCTGCAACAATTACAACCACAGCCTCAGCCGTCCACACAATGAGAGCCCCAACATTTCAGAGCGTTACAGTGCGGCGTGAATGAGAAGGAAACTTCTCTGAGTGGTGAGGACAAATGTTCTTAGCTGGCTGTTTGATGCCATGCACTGTTGATGCATCTGTGTTCCAGCTGAACATGCCAAAGGAAAGTGTTTGTGGTGAACAGTAGCTTTTGTTGAGGCAAACGTGACTCTGATAAAAGCCTTCAGTTCGAAATCCATTACAATAACAACATATTATTAGACTTTGTAGATTCATCAATAGATGTTTTTTAATGATTATTTTAGGAGCTTGTAGAAAGCAAGAAAGACATTTTAGGATTAAAGAAAGATTATGGATTTTTCTGTCAATCAAGAAGTTATTCATCTCTTAATGAGAGTGATGCAATCCACCTTGTAAAGGAAGGCTTTGTGAAACCATGAGAGATTCACAATACTGACAACCGCATTTTGTGGACCAATTAAAAGATCGAATATATATCTTGTTATAAACAATTATAATACTGCAAGAATAACAACAGACTGAACAAGAAACGTGTTTCAATTGTAAACAGTGCCTCAGTCTCACTTCATACTGTGTTACAATGATGTCCACTGGATTTGAGCCTGTGAGATCAAACATGCTATTCTTCATAACTGAAGATGTATTCATTTGACTCTAAACATCACATGACCTAACAGCAAACTGTTGGCTCAACAAGCAACAGTTTCCTGTTACTGTGGTAGTGGCACAGCGAGCTGTAGCACGTTGGTGTTTAGTGGGATTACGGTGAAAACAACTACGTGTAGCACAAACATGCCTGGGTTACAACGATAGTACACAGTAGAGTAGAGTGGGGCCTGAGAACATTACAATATATCTTTTCATCAACTCAGCTTACAGTGTGTTTAGCAATTGTACTTTATACTGTCCAATATTCATTTGATAGTGTTTACCTAACCTTTAAGTTCCTTTTCTTGATGAGATCAAACCCTAATGTGCCAGGTCAAATGAGGGTCCATGTTTACAGGTCGGTGTCAAACCATACTGTGTAACTAAATGACACGTTATGATTAGGGGTATGCATTATATATTAGCCCTGTAAACTCTTTTATGATCATTCATTTGCATAGCTGCGACCATCATGGTGGCCGCATGCATTTAGATAAAGTCAGACATTTTGATAGCTTAGATTTTGATGTATTTGAATCAGTGACCCATAAGTTTGAGTAATGTTAAAGCATTCAGGATAAGAACACTCAAGACTCTGAGACTAAACCAAACTGTATATTGACATGCGAGGCGTCACTAAAGTAAAGCTGCAACTAGCCTAATGATTATCTTCAGTATGAGATCAACGTTTCTCTATTAATTGAGCATTTTGTCCACAAACTGCTCATGTAAATGTTAACAGTAACTCCTGCTATAATGTCGGTGGCTTATTCAGAGGTCCTGTTTAGTCAGACCTACATTCAGAAAACTATTTTCAGTCAAAACTTAAAAGCTGCACATCGGAGAAGCTGTAACTTGAAAAATATCTGTGATAGTGAAACTTTATAAACTTTCACACCAAGTACTTTGCCGTACTTAGTGCCCAGCACTTAGTTCCCAGCACTTAGTGCCCAGCACTTAGTTCCCAGCACTTAGTTCCCAGCACTTAGTTCCCAGCACTTAGTACCCCCATGGAACTAAGTACAGATCGCGTTCACACCGGAACAAGTTCCCTGAGGGAGGATTAGGCAAATGAAGCTGCTGACGTCACTTCTTCTTCTTCTGCTTTGGGTTTACTGGCAGGCCGCAAACAACTTCACAGCGTATACTGCCACCTGAAGCCCCGGCCGGAAGTCCCCGGAGTTGAGGACTGGCTTCAGTAGAAGCTGCTGGGGCTGCGTCTCAAGTCGGTTATTTTCATTTCCTCGCTCCTCCGTATCACCGGAAGTTGATTTGTCTGCGCCATCTTGAGTAGCGTCGCATGGCGCTTATTTCTGCCGGAGGACCGAGGAGCGATAATCGAGGAACTCGCCCGCCCCCTTACTGTGTATTGCTCACTGATTGGACGATGCAGCACATGCTAGGGCTGCTCAATGAATCGCATTTTAATCGCGATTACGATTACGGCTTGCAGCGATTACGAAAACAACGTAATCGAAATAAAATGATTTTTCTTTTAATTATTATTATTTTAAAAATATATTCTGTTGAATTATACTTAAAGTTCAGGGGAATCAACTGTTAAAAACATACTGTTCACATTTTTCAAAGTCAATGAATAATCGCATTTAATAATCGCAATTACAATTATTGACCCAAATAATGGAGATTATGATTGTTGCCATAATGGAGCAGCCCTAGCGCATGCACTGATCTCATGCTTCTTGACATGAGAGCAGTTTCCCAAACTCACGAGAGTCACTCCTCAGTCCGCACATATGACAGCGCAGTTGCTCCATCATTCCATCTCTTGTTTGACCAGCTGAATGTCTGGCACTATCGGAACTAAACGGGAAAAGTACTCCGGTGTGAAAGCGCCTAATAGGTGCCAACTAATGTTCTGTCTATCAACTGATCATGAGGTAATCGAACTGTGGGTGTCCTTTGTGCCATCATCTTGTCTACGGTCACATTTATATTCTTTACACCTATCATAGTTTGTGATCTTTAAACGGGGATAAAGCGACAGGACAACCGAAATTCATCAGGTCACCCCATCTGACGTGTGACACCTGCCAGGCATGCTTTGTGGACATTGTGTAGTGAAAACCGTGGTTAGATAGTTGATGTCATGTATTACACAATGTTTACTGCCAACTGAACTTTAAACAGATATCTCTGCAGGCACGGTTTATGAAGGCATGCAAACTAACTTTAGGCCTTACTGCAGTGGTAAACTAGTGAACTAGTTTTAAACAATGGCTTCATTGTCTCAGAGAGAGTTGTTTTGAATTAGCAAGATACATTATATATGTAAAGGTTTTACTGCTTTACATACTTGTATGTACAATGAACACACAGCATAAGGAATGTAGCTGCTTTATTGTGAACCAGCAGCAGGTACACAGCAGTGGTGTAAGGTGACTAAGTACATTTACTCAAGTACTTATGTACAATTTTGAGGGACTTGTACTTTACTTGAGTATTTTCGCTCCTCTGTACTTCTACTACACTACAGTTCAGAGGTCAATCGTGTACCTTTTCTCCACGTCATGTATTTCATATCTTAAGTTACTTTGCAGATTTGGATTATTGATGTGAAATATAATCAACACTAAAATAAGGATTACAATTAGTTACACTTTTACACACATTAATGCATCAATAATATAACCAAAACATATAAAATATTATTCTGAAATGGGCCAATCTGCAGAATAAGTATTTTTACTTTTGGTACTTTAGTATATTTTGATGCTAATACTTTTGTACTTTTACTTGAGAAACATTTTGAATGCAGGACTTGTACTTTACTACACTCTGTCATTGCTACTTTTACTTAGGTACAAGATCAGAGTACAGCTTCCACCTCTGGTACAGAATGCTGACTAACAAAGTGACCATAACCCCACACACTTCACTGGGTAGCACACTTACTAAGGTGGCCTGCAATGGATAAAACACTTATCATTCACCAAATGATCTACAATTAGATAATCAAGCTAGCACTGACTGTAAGCGTGTGGGACCTTTTGTCTCAGCTTTAACTAAATAACACTACTCCAGAAGCTTTACTAACTTTAAAAGTACTTTAACGGGTCATATAATATAAGTCACATCACTATTAACGTTATAATGCTAACAGCGAGCAAACTGAAACCCATTCCAGCCGTTGGTTCGCTGTAACGTCGGTAACGTCAACGGTTGTTACCTGCTGCCTCCCGTTGCTCCCTCCTCCTGACAGCGCTTATATCGTAGAATCCCAACGTTTCCGGTAGGTCCGGAGTTATCCCAATTTTACCGGACTTGTGCAACTCGTCCCACGGTCGTTTCTGTCTTTTCTTCAGCTCAATTTCGGCTTCTTTCTCCTCTGACATCTTGCTCCCCGACACGTCCGCCATCTTTACTTCGGTCGCTGCGTCGCCTCGTGCGACGTCATCGCACTATGGGTAAAAACAAATGACGTAATAACGTGAACGTGACTAGCAGGTAGAATCAACATATTTTGATTTTATTCACCTTATTTTAATTAGTTTTTTAAAATCCCAGGAGAACAATTTGGGTAAACCTAAGTGCTTTCATTAGAAGTTATATATTTTTCAAAATTAATTATTATTCAAATAATTTATATTTGTAATGTTTTGGTCTCAACCTACTACACAATTAACAACATTCTCCAAGCCAAATTACAGGTAAATAATGAACGGTTGTCACAAAAGAGTTCTGGATTTATTAGAATGATTTGTCTATAAATCCAGTACTCTTTTGTGATTAATACATTAACATTAACATTATCATTATTAAGTTTATGAAAGGTTATTCATCTCTGCAATTCAAAACATTGTTATATCAAAAAAGTGGAAACAATTGTTCTTTGCTGGGAGCGGGGACACCTTGAATTATTTGTATTTGACAGTCGGATACAAATCTATTTAGCTTTCAGAGGTTTGTGAGACAAATAATAATAACAAGAATAATAAAATAATTATATGAATAGGCAGTAGCCATTATACTCCACTTGGTGTCGCCAAAGTTCCATCAAATCTTCCTAGATTTAAAGTCTACCCAACAACAGTGTTTCTCAGGGTTATCTGAACAACTTTGCCGAGTACTTCATACTTGTTTGCATGTTCTCAGTTACTCAGCAAAAGTATTCAGGTAACTCAGGTAAGAAGATGAAGGATACAGCTATAAAATCCAGGTTAAAATGTTCTAATGTTTAATATCCTTATTGATGTGAAGAAACACAAATACAACCAACTAGTGATGATCTGTACATTGTTTGCAGTGTCAGTGTCCTACTACATAACTGCAATAGCTCGTGAAGCACATTCCTTTGACAATTTTTTAATTCTGCACACTTCTACCACTTTTAAATGCAGAAAACTGTACATTTTGTTTCACAGAAATGTGGCATAAGCGATGTTTGCTCTTATTTGACATTTTAATTTATCTCATTGTGTTGATGTATGCCACAGTACATACTAAAGCATATTCCTTGTATATGAAAACGTACTTGGCACTAAACCAAGTTGTGATTCTGAAGGCTGTTACACATTAGAGCAGAAAATCCACACCCAAATGCACCTCTAGTATTATTTATGACATCTTAAAACTCCAGTTCTTAATTGTGATTTCCAAGGAGCAGGGGTGCATGAACCTGTAGTTAAGATGTTGAATCAAAAGTGAATGTACAGTTTGAGCATATCAATAAAGTAAGCATAATGAAGTATTGTTTGAATACTGGAGCACGTTTCTGATAAAGGTCACACTTCATACTTAAAACATGAATTATCTTGCAAGCTCGTCTTCGGCGGGGGGTTCTTTGGGTCAACATATCTTTATTTTATCTCTGAATTATTAAATATCAGAAGAAAGGGGCAGCTTCAGAAAAAAGGCATTTGCTGTGTGATATTTGGGAGACTTACTGTACACCAAAACACAATGTTTAGGTTGGGTTACTGAATCGAGTTCATACAAGGAAGAGGGAGAAATTACCACAACACTTGCTTTATAGATTTGTCTACATACATTTGAGTTGTTTAGGTTTCAAATTCACAATTTTTAGCCAAAAGGCAAATCAAATTTCCAAAATTGCATCAGTAAAACTGTCTCACTGCAATGTCCAGTTAGCAGCTATTGAAACGCTTTCAGTTGAACTACACTTTCCTCCTCGATAGATGTGTCTATATCCAGTCCTGGAGCATTTTAAGGACTTTCCTCTCATGTAAAATGATATAATCTGCTGTTTCAAGGTCAGCGTTTCCAATGATTTGTCCAAAAAAGTCGGAGCTAAAAGTAAGAAGAGCAAATAATAAACAGATGCATGCACACATGATACATAAGCAAATCCAACTTCTTTTGTAAGCACGGTTTATTGGCACACATAATGGTAAAGCATACATACCAGACATCAGATATGACACTGAACACCTCTGCTATATAATGTACAAATGGTGTCTAATAATACTAGGCTCAAACATATTTAGAAATGTGTTAGCTTCCTTACAAATGCACAAATAAATACCCATAAGATCCAATTGTAGAAAGACATAATGTCGCTGACTCAGATCAGGGATATATTATCAATTCAATTAAAGATTAAAGAACAATTGTGAGCGCAAAGACGGGGATATCAAACATTTTCTGTGGGGTGGATGGGATTTTGTCTGTGCTTTGTTTCTCAAAATGTAAAATTGTTTTGTTCTTTTGTCACAGAATATACAAGAAATGTGACTTAACGTTGTGGCTTTGGTTGTGCACTAGCTAGAGAAGATGGGAGACATCAGAGGGTTTTGTTTTTTGAGCGAAGCAAACCAGCGTCCATCCAAACCACCCGACAGAAATCTGATCCTCCTGCGAAAAACAAAACAGCTGCCATATCCAAACTGGTTTCAGTGGCTGATTTACAGTGGACAAAATAGCCTCCACCTCTATTTACAGAGCTACAAACCTTGTAACAGTGTTCCCAAACTGATGAACCCAAAAGGAAAATCAGACTTGATGTGTTTTTTTAAAAAGTACATATATCAAACGAAATAAAAATCCTATAAAATCATGCAGGAAAAAGGCTTTAGTATCAGTTTGGGAGTAGGTCGTTAAAGGGAAAGAAGTCACATTTTTGGAAAGGAGAGGGGGAAAAAAACATTAATCCGTGTCAGCAAAGTTCACATACTGACCGGCAAAAATTACAACGTGACTGCAAAGGATTCTGAGAGAAGCAAAATACCAATAGACTACGAACACAATCAAACTGGTTTTCATGAAATCACAATCTGTGACAACCGCGGTAATGTGGAAAAAAATATCCTAGGACACGATTTCCCGTCGTTTGAATGGAGTCCATAGCGGTAGAGAACTTTTATTCCCACTTAATTGGAAATGGAAATAAACAGCAACAGCAGAAACGAACCAACCGCCGACTGGATTTCCAATAAAAATGCAATTGCCTCAAACAATGCTTCATTTGTCTCCAATGTGGTTCCACCAGCTCTGTTAAAAACGCTTCCCTCCGTTGCCTTGACATTTTGTTTGTTGTTTTTATTCTTCTTCTTTCCTCCCCTCTGCCTACTGTCAGCATGATGACTTGTGACCTGCAGGTCAACCAATCACAGCTGTGCGATCCACCAGACCAGAGCTTTCACTGAGGGAGCATTTGATCCACAATTTCCCCCCCAAAAAACCCCCCACCCACGCCTTGTTTTTTTTTTTACATTACAGGTGCATACGACTCATATGCATTTGTTGTCTCTCGGGATATTGCTGTGCCAGTTCTCCAAGATGTTTCAGTGATTCAGAGAAGAAGAAAATATCCAGAATATTTTCGGCCAGTGGTGAGTTTTTCTGATTCAGTACAATGTTATGAGGCCCTCGGGGGGGGAAGGGGGAGGTTAAAAAGTCCAGTCCACACGGAGTCAGGGTCTTCTTCTTTTGTTTTTACTGCGAGGGCTGAGGCGCCGTGCTCTCCGGCTTGCTGTCCTGGCCGGAGGACGGCTTGCTGCTCCAGTTGTTTCCCAGAGACGGGGAGCCGTTGAAGTCGTCCTCGTCGTCCAGGCCGTTGGTGGCGTCGTACTGCGTGTTCTCCAGACGGGTGATCAGACGCTCGTCCTCGTCCCCGAACTCGCCGCCCATCAGGGTCGGCTCGCCCACCACCATCACGTCCTGAAAACAAGGAGGAGAGCACGTTTACAGACTGAAAAGAAAGGAAATGACTAATGTTTGTGGGTTCACACGAGGTTAGTTATTGTGTTGTTTACAACTGTTTTCTCCTACACACTGTAAGACTTCCACTTCATTTGTTTAAATAGAATCATAGGATGTTAGGGTTTTAGTTTATTAAGGTAGCTACCTCTAAGATTGAAATGTTTCGGGTGAACAATAATATCCTACTACTGAATTAAGCAACTTATAATTTAACATTAGATCTTTACAAGTGCTCTGTTTAAGCACACGGCTGACCACAGACAAGTGATTTGAAATAAATAAATTGCTTTGGCAATCTAAAAATAACATTTACTATGAGTTAAAGGAGAACAAAAAACACAAATCAGACCCATTTATATTCAGGAAAAGAATAATTTAAACTAATATTTATCAGAAATACTTCTACTAATTAAGAAAAATGTTTGTCCTTCCTTGAGAAAAGTATGCAAAGAAATATCATATTTAGTTTTTATGTGAATATTTAAGTTTTGTTTGAGATGTTTCAAGTCTTATTGCTATAGGCTCCAGCTTACCATGAATATAAACGATCTTATCAGAATACTAACATATGTTAAGATTTCCCCTCTTGCTAAATATGCTTACTTATTATGAAACTTAACCCACTTTCTGACCAGTTTAACATTTCTTAAAACTGTCTAACCTGTTTTACAAAAATAGTACATACATATAATCAATTTCTACACAAGCACCGTGACATGTTTTCAGATTTGTGCAGGAGCGCCCATATTTAGCCTCGGGGCGATTCAGAATTAATATGCTAAAGTGAGAGAGAAATCCCCAGAGAAGAAATTAATGCATATCTGTTTCATCTGAGACCAAAGCAGCGTCTGAATACCAAGCTAACAAGACCTTTTAACATGTGCATTACTTCAGATACATGAATATGCATGTTGTCTATTTCACATTGAGAAATAAATAACATATTTTAATCAAATGTAGGGTTATAAATACAACAAGGTCATGAAGAGGAACATTCACAAGACTTTCAATCAGCAGCTCATGTCTTTACAGTGTTTGATCTATTTCTGTGTTCATGTTTTCTGTCTCCCAACTGAGCGAGAATCTGCTACGATGCAAAGGATTTCTCAACACAGACCCCCTGCTTGCAGAGTGTGTGTGTGTTTCACTGTGTGTGTTTAGGACATATGTTTGTGTATGCAGTGAACCTCCCTACGGTCGTCCCCTCAAATGAAACCTTCCCAAAGACAGAGCGGATTCCCCCAACACTCTGCCCCCCTCCCCCCCTCGATCAATACTCATCATGTACGACATATCTCACAGACGCTCCTCTCACAGCCGGTCGAGGAAGAGGAGGAGAGATTTAAACATTATCTAACGACACCTGGGACTCCAGTGATGAGCATTTAGCAGTGGGGGTGTAACTAAGGACATTCACTGTACTGTGCTTAATTGCAGTTTTAACCCTCCTATTGTCTTCGTTTCCCCCCCCCCCTTACTTTGGTGTTCGCGGTCAAATTTGACCGGTCCTGTTTTAACTACTATTACATTAACACAAACACCATTAATCATCACCAAATTTAATTTAACACCCTTTCAAACTGTACATATGAAAAACTGCAGTATATATACAAAGAATAGACACTGAACATGTATTGCGTGTGCCAGGTGTGATCCATGTGGGGGGATGGGCAAATAAGAGCGGGAAATGTATCAAATTGTTCTGTGTGTGTTTGTGTGTGCCAGGTGTGATTCACATGGGGGGATTGGGCACATAGAGGGGGGGGGGGAACACATCTGCAGTGCTTCTCAAAGTGTGGTCCGTGAGAGCCCCCTAGTGGTCCGTGAGTATATTGGTAACATTTCACATTTGAAATAAATTAACTTATTTAAGTTTTCCGCACTCTTGCGGGAATATCTCTGCAATGGAGCGAGCTTAAGTTTCACTTTCAATTGCATGATATAGCCCAGCGCAACACCTTCATCACACATGTTGCCACTTGTTTGTACCATTTTTAGGCGATTTGTAATCTGTTCTAAAAAAACGATGTGTTTTGGGATATTTGTGGAGTTAGGTGGTCCGCGAGTTTTTTTTTATTGGTTAAGTGGTCCTTGGTATGAAAAAGTTTGAGAAACACTGATCTAGAGTATGTGTGTGTGAGTGGGTGTTTTATCTGATCCAGATGGTTACTAATTCCTTTTCTTTATGGTGGTCTTTTTTGACCGGGAACACCATGGGTGTTAAAAAGTTGACTAAATCATCCAAAATGCAATGAAAGTGGTGATCAGCAATTGTATATGTTCAAACGTCTACTGTGAAGGATATCATGAAGCCTTAATGCAATCGAATGTAAAACAAAAAAGTTATGATGATGATGAAAGTAGTAAATTGGTCAGATTTGACCCGAAGACAAGAGGAGGGTTAAGGGTATTTTACTTGAGTTTTTCCTCTGATGCTACTTTATACTTAACATCAGAGGGAAGTACACACTTTTACAAAACTGCCTTCTATTAATGGTGATGTATATTTGAAATGTATTGTTTATGATCATTTTAACATGTAAAAGTGTCTTTGAGTAACAGAAAAAGTGCGACATAATGAATTGCATTATAATTTGTATTAAGTGTGTTTTTCTATGATAAAATAAATAATACAATGATAATAATTTTTCTTATAAAATGATTAGTTAGTAATATTAATATAAATATTAATATTTTATATGGCTTTAGTTACTCTACAGATTTAAATGATTAACTACTAATATTATAACAAAATTGTGAAAGTCCATTCAGCTTGATGAGTACTTTTACTCTTGGTACTTTAAGTACATTTTGATGCTTTTGTAATTTGACTTATGTGAGATTATAAATACATGACTTTTACTTGTAACCGATCATTTTTATATTACTTTTACAAAAATTAAATACCAGAACAGTTCCTGAATCTGGGGCACGTGATCTGTTCCAAGTTTCAGGAGAAAATTCCTTTGACAAATAATCCCTGGAGGGTAGTTATAAACATAGACATTGATCAGATCCTATCATAGCTTTCATTTCTGAGTGTGTGTGTGTGTGTGTGTGTGTGTGTGTGTGTGTGTGTGTGTGTGTGTGTGTGTGTGTGTGTGTGTGTGTGTGTGCTGAGTGTGTGAATATCCTCTGACTGACTAAGCACCTCCTGCTGGCCCCACCCAGTGTAACCCAGGAGGAAGCGCTACAGTTAAATGGAGCGCACACTTCACTGGCCAAGTGTGTCAACGCTGCCCGCTCTCCTCAGCTCATCTCCTCCGCCACACACACACACACACACACACACACACACACACACACACACACACACACACACACACACACACACACACACACACACACACACACACACACACACACACACACACACACACACACACACACACACACACACACCCAGATTACTGTACAATCACACACTCTGATTAACCCTTTGTCTTGTACACAACAAAGTGCACACACTCACACAACATTGTACAAACAAATCCAACACATACACACATCATCACTTCCAGCTAGCTTTGATGTAAACATACAAACAAAACTAGACAACTTAGCACACTTCACCCCCCTGGCAGTTTATTTATTTATCGAAGCCATGCCCAACCCCCCCTAGCGACCACTTCTACACCCCACTATGCTTTAATCAGGCTAATTAATTTAGGTGAGCTTTTCAACTAAATGACAATATCCACACTGATTTGTCAATTTGCATAGCTAATTAAGTCATTAGCTAAAAACGTGCTGATTGCCAACAAGCCATGCATCCGCCATCTGTTCCTGAGAGGAGGCCTGTCAACCTACCTCTGGCCAATCTCGGGCCAAAAAAAAAAGAGCTCCGACGATAACAGCTGGTGGCTAGTCTGAGACTGGGGAGCGCTAATTGTGAGATAATTAATACTGTCAACTCGTCTACTCATCTCGTTAAGAGTTAGCTTTAGCGCTAGTTTAGCGGCGACTCTTTCAATACGCGCCTCCCTGAACGGAGTCATTAGCTTATTTTACAGAGATTAGCCATAGCTTGGAGGACATGTTGGTTTCTCATGCCACCAAAACAACAAGTGGGAGTTTAAAAAAGGCGGGATTGTGATGACAAAAGGGGCCAGAGAACAACATTGTCCAATAAAGCGGCAAAAATAAGGAAAACACTTTTAGATATAACAATAATATACTTTAAAGTCAGGCCCTCTATCCGATTTTAGAGAGGTAAACGGCATCTTCAGTTTAAGTATTGGTTATATTAGTTAGATTTGTTTGGCTTTTATTAAAATACTTGTTCAAAGGATAAAACTGCAGATGTTTTGTATTTTTCTTGTCGACACATCCAACAGTTGTGTTGTCTTTCCTGTGATGACAGTCGCTATAAGATTATAGTTCATCGGATATTACTAAAGATAGCTCACTTAATCAATACTTTCATAAAATATCAGGGAGTTTTGATCTAAAGTTACTCAAACAATAGAGTAATAGTTGTATTGGAATATTTTTCAGGGGCGGATTAATACATATATGGATCTCAAGTGAGTATGTAAGGCAGCAGGCAAGTGCATGTGGGATTGACTCAAAATAAACTGAAATGCCCACGTTCATTTTAATGAATGATTCAGCTCATTCATGTTTTTTAATTTTTTTTTGGACAACCACTTAGCTTTTTGGCACAGAGAAATAAGATTTGGATACTCAATACTTGTTTGTCGGATCAATCGATTGTTTTCAGATGGGATTTGTTATTAAAGTATAGTATACCATCAGCCTTACCCATGTCACCATCGCAATACAATTACTAAAGAAAACTATTTTTTGTGCGAGTATGCAACATAAGTAAGACTATTTATGTGCTTTTAAATTGAATAATGACTGTTTGAAACTTAATTTTTGTATAATAATTGAGCACATGCTGCTCCATAGAAGTCAAATTCCGAACCTTGTAAGTGTAATCCTCAAAAGATAGCAGCAGATAGACAGTTATTTACTGGTTAGGTTAATATGTGTTGAATTAGCTTGAAATGCTCTGACTGACTGACAGCATGAAGAATCTGCTGCTTACTTTGGTCAAAGAAACGTTAGAAATGAATTCAGGCCACTAGAGGTCACTGTTACACATCCTATGAGTTTCCCTAGCTGCACCTCCTCTCCTCCTCCAGCCGATGGTACCCCCCCCCCCCCCCCCTTGCGAGGGTCCACTCCTTATTGTTATTGGGCTCACGTAGGCTTGTGCTCAGCCACAAACGAACAACTTCTCAGACAAAGACAGCAGGCACGCAACATATGTAACCAGCATGTTACCAGCCACGCTGCCAGTCTTTAAGAGGTGTGTGAATGCACGGCATGAGTGCTACGGGGTAGGTGTGTGTGTGGGGGGGGGGGGGGGGGGGCAGTGATGGAGTAGAGAGTGTGCATGTGACAGAGGAAGGGGCTGGGGGTGGAGGGTTGTATACAGATATCGGTGATAATGAGAGCTGGCACAGAGCCAAACTGCCTTCTAGAGAGAAAACAATTGCGCACGCTGTGTGTGTGTGTGTGTGTGTGTGTGTGTGTGTGTGTGTAATGTACATCATGTATGTGTGAGACGGAGAGGAGGAGGTAAGAGAAGAGGGTGAGGACAACAAATCTGGAATGATGAGACAGCTAACTGCGGGACAGAATATAGAGGGGACAGTACAGTGTGTGTGTGTGTGTGTGTGTGTGTGTGTGTGTGTGTGTGTGTGTGTGTGTGTGTGTGTGTGTGTGTGTGTGTGTGTGTGTGTGCAGGTAGGAGAACAAAATACTGTTAAAATGCAATAAAACATAATTTTTCTTTTGTTAAGTGCCAAGTAGATAAACAACTGGAACCATGCCTGGAAATTGGAGAGACGAGTCTACCCAGTATTATAATTCATCACCTAAATAAGACACCTACAGCAAGTTCTACAATGTCCCTTTATTCAACCCTGTTTCCTTACAAAGCATGTTCATATCTTACTTGTTTACATTTTCAGCAGCAAAGAAATAAACATAATGCTGCTAAGATTACATGTCTGTATCAACATAATGCTGTCAATCAATTAGCAGGACACAAAACATATTGTTAATATCTACACTTCATGTATTGCATCTGCATTTTAGCTACATTGAGACAAGCTCACACTGTCCGCTTACTGCTGAAACATCTTACACAATGTTTCAGTCTGTATGACCTTGATCAGGTACATAAGCAGCAACATGCCTCTGCCATAAATATAAAAATATAACTACACTACAAGAGCTATACCTCAATCATCGAATGAAATTACTCCAGAAATTGATTTCACTGATGATCGCCTCAATCTTACTCAAATACGGTACTTCAGTCAGAAAAGAACATCAAACAGATTAGAAAAATACAAAGTAACTCAATGCAATGATAATAATAAATCCTACCTGTCATACATCTAAGCGAGCAAAGCATACTTTTGTTAGTAGTATTATTTTGAGCAACTGAAACATGAGAAGAACGTTTTAATGGTTAAGATTAGGCACTCAAAGCACTTTTGGAACGATTGTGGTCTTGATTAAATATGAAATATCGGATGTGAAGCACCACAAACATGTTTACTGTATTAACATTGGAGTACATTTAAAGTACTTTTGTGCCTCAGCCTCACAACACATGGGACTCATGTCTCTGATGGTAAAGAGGGAACATAATCACGTCAGGAATGATGTCTTCAAAATGTAATAGGGAAAACAAATTAGTACTATATAAATGTCGCTCCTAGTAAAGCTATAGTGAACACACTGTGTTTATAGAAAAGCATCAGCACCCTTAAAGCTCCCATCATGCAGAATGAATCCAGAGATGGAGCACACATTAATGCCAACCTGCAAACCTTTAACAGCGTTTGGTATCACAGCACACTTTCAGCTGAACTGCAGTGACCTGTGTTCAGAAACACCGGTATCGACGAGGCTCCAGAATAGCAAATTGGATGCAGGAGTGTAAATATAATACAGCATGTGTATAATGAACGGTGTTTGGGAGAAAGGTAGAACACTAGCCTGTGCAGACGCTCACAACAGCATCACATCCTGGAGGGGAGACATGTGGAGCAACACTCAGCTGTTTGAGAGGCTGTTTAACCTCTAACTGTGTCAAGTGGCCTGTTATGGAGACGTGCCGCAGAATCAGACATTCAGACCCTGAAACTCAGTATGCAGAGTCACAAGGACAGTAGTTTCTTACTTTGTCTCAATGATAGTATTAGAGTAATATAGATTTGTATGTCATTTTCTGTGGTGACTTGTATCGTTTTTCTTGGATGTTGTTCAATGAAAGTGGTTAGTGGAAAATGTCCTGAATTAAAGGGGTTTCAAAATGACCTTAAAATAGAAAGATTGGATGTAAAAACCTATGGTGAAGAGGATCCTTAGCTCATCTTCATATTTAGGATTGCCTTTCTAATGTTTGTAGTATGTTTTAAAAAACGTTTTAATCAACAACAAAAATCTGAAAAAGGGACAAAAGGAATACGACGTTGCTCCGATAACTGTACACAGGACATACAAAGGTAATATTTGATAAACACTTTTAAAATGTATGTTGGTTATCGCTAATGTTATTATATTAACAGACATGTGCACAAATCGCAACCTAAATTGTCCTGCCTCAATGCAAAAATATCAGCACTTCCTACGTCACATTGAACATTTTCTTTATCCAATTTGGATAATAGAGTGGGGATTTCTATTGTAAATTCATAAGGTTTTTGATTGTTTATATCTTTTGAAATGAGTCTTTGTTTATAATATTATTACCTATTATTTTATGCTCAATAATGGGTTGGATTAGTTCGGTTAAATGGGTATGTGTGGAAGACTATCATTTCATCCAGTCTCTTTACATTCAGATGTACCAGATATACAGAGTTAATGTAACTCCTGCTTCAGTACGAGTCCTCTGGCAGTTGTGATATTAGTGACTCGGTCAACAGTGGTGTCTTAAAGAGTCACTTTCTCAACCCACATTGATCCTGAGATTTAAAAACTCTAGGGTACATCCACTAGGTTTAGAAAACGGGTCAGCTTGGTCTTTTTAAACATACATAGTGAATTATTTGGGAAGAAACGGCTAGAAACTAATGAAAAAGCTTAACGTATTAATATAAAACTAGCTGTCGCAAAAAGACACTTCTATTCACCTTCTTTAATTCCTGTTTATAAGATTATCTGTTCTTGTACTATGTTCCGCTTTGATGATTCTTAATGTCGTGTGTCACTCTGTATGATATTTCATTCTCTCTTTGTCTTTCCTGGCCACATGTTTTCATACGAATCCCTGGAGGTTTCTTTGTCTCTCTGCACAGATTTGAGTTTCTTTTTTCCTCCTGGTGCCTTTTTCCCCCCCTTCTTCTCTCTTTTGTGCAAATAAATGAAACCTAATAGCTGCAATACCATTAGGAATACCTCGTGTCTGTGTGTAACCCTGCAAACATGGATGTAGGAAGAGAAATAAAAGAAGAGGCAAACCGATCTGATGCTTACAGGTACCTGACTGGAGAGGCTGAAGTTGGTGGCCGGGCTGCGCTTCTTGCTGGCCGTGGTGCCGGCGCTGTTGGCGCTGCTGGCCGAGTTCTTCCGTTTCCTCCTCTTCGTGGTGGTCTGTCGGGCCGGCTCAGCTTTGGCGCGACCTGCAAAGAGAAACAGGCAAAAGCCAAGAAGATAATGCATACTGACGGAGACAAGGCGTAGGTGTGCAGGCTTGGGATAAGAATATATGTAACGGGATTATGTCATCTGGATACAAAAGAAACTGCATTCCCTTAGAGTTACATAAAAAAAGACGTAATCAGATCACTGGTACATCTTTTTTAAATGGGGATTACTAGCAGGATAACAATGTTACACTGCATTTTATAATAAAGAAATATATATTATTGGTAGATCGTCTGATTTTTCTTTCTCCTTTCATTTAGGCTACTTTCATTTTTTCATAAATGCAGTCGGTGGACACCTGATGATTTTGAACGAAAATACTGTTTGCTTTTAATTAATGTGTTCAACTTAAACAGCATTTGTGAACTATACTATTCTGTAAGCCTAGCATAAGATACATTGTTGATACTTAATATCTTGGTTTCTTCTTTTCGAAGGTCACATTGTTCTGTTGTCTTACATAATGCACTTAATAAAAACATCTTATTCTCTCCTGTACTGAGTTGCACGGCAATTGAAATCGAGATTATCCAAAAGTAACATAAAGTGATCAGGTAACATTACTTGTATATTGTGATACTCAGATTACGTTAATGATTCCTTTTTTTTTTTTTTTTTACAGGTAGCTAGTCATTTTAACGGATCACATTTTTAAGGTCACCCTCCCAGCCCTGTAGGTGTGTATGTGTGTGTGTTCAAGTCAGACAGTAGTAGAGACACGAAGCCATGCAGAAAGTCAGTATACATGCATTCACAAACACACAGGTTACAGACAGCCTATAACAATCCATGCTTTGTTTTCTTCAGAGGTGAAACAGCACGAGCGTAGCATCTCCCAAGACATGCACTAGTAAGAAAGCCCACGTCCCATTTGCATAAATGCTTAACAATGGACCCTGATGCTCAACCTAATGTAAATCTCTTAATGATTTCAGCACTGCACAGATTGTGTTCCTCAACAGCCAGATTAAAGCTGCTCTGCTGAGGCAGAAACAACATTCCTGTTTGTCTTTCTGAACATGTTATTACACTGGTTCCATTTGTGTTGCATTACATATTATAGATTTGATTGGCTGAGCACCAGTGGTTTTTTGTTCTAATCTAAGTTTCAGTAAGGGTTTGAGAATCATGTGTGTTACATTAGAGGTGGTGTTTTCAAACATGCAGATGAACAACATGTTTTGGTTAGAGGCATTCCAGTAAGCATTTCAAAAGCTGCTTACTACAGACAATGCAAGAGGGAAGATACCTTTTTTGGGATTTGTGGGAAATATTTCCGTTTTGAAGTTCTGTGGGTGTCCAGCTGAAACCGGAGCCAAAGTTTATTCAGGTGATTATATCATCTCTTAAACAACAGGGTGAGACCAGAGATGACAACAAAAGACAATATAGAGAAATAATTGAACTTGCAACGCCGTGCAGATGCTACTCAACACCACTGGGGAAACGTATATGCTTTAGTTATTCCAATTATGAGTTATACATAATTCCTAAAGGTGCAATTAAATCACAAGTGAGAACATTATTATCAAAAAGTACTGACACTGTTAAATAGAGATCTTTGTTCGTAGTATTTACAAAATAGTCGTCATTTATGAATACATGATTCTTCAAACATTTGTTAGTCATCTCGAGGGACACGAGAAAACACTGCTGCGATTTTCAAACATTAAAAACCGAGGTTCTCACTAATCACATCAAGGGAGATGCTTTTATATTCAGTTACAACAACCGGTTACAAACAAAACTAGAACTATAAATCCTAGGCGAAACAATGAGGGGGATTTTTATTGCTATCTTTTCTCTTTTGATTCCTGACTTTGACAGACGTGTTTGCAAAAAAAGTGGGCCTATTGTCAGACACAATCACTTCTGTTATCCACCGGTTTCCTCAAAGCGGTGACGCACTAAAATCACTTCCATTTCCACCAAAAGAACTTATCAGAGCATAAATGCGCCTGTGGCTTCCTTCCTGGAGAAATCCCAACCAGTTTCCAAGCAGAAGAAGAATCGCAGGAAAAGGGGAACAACACGCCACCAGTGTGGGGGAAAACAGCAAATACAGCTCAACTGAAAAGTTCAGACTCGACTTCATGAGAAAATGACGGGCGACATGAAATCATCCTGAAAAACACACTGAGGAAGTCTGACTTAACGAAGGCAATAGACTTGCTATCTAATATTTTGAATACGTTTCCAGGAAGCAACGTATGGATCCAAAATAAAAGACTATATCAAAGCAAATAGGTCTGAATGAATCTGCATATTACATCAAACTAGATTCAGTAATCACAATTGAGATGTACCAAATGTCTTTTTTTCATAATTTGAAGCTTCTTATGAGGTGTTTCAATCTTCCGGTGCAAACTGAAGACCCGCCTGTTTTGCTTGTACCTTGGCTATTCAATTATATATAAAAAGTAGCACTTAATAGTTTAACCTATGCACCAGCACTGTTTCAATGGTCTGGCTTGTTTGAAGCAAATATGTCTGCACTGTTCTTGTTGTTCTTTGAATCGTTCATTGCAGTTATTGTAAGTCGATATGGATTAAAAGCGTCAGCTAAATGCTTTGTAATGTGACGTAATGTAAAGCTTTGAATGACTACGGTTATATTTTGTGACACATGATCATCTTTAAACACTCCTTGAACTAAATCCTCAATTGGAATAGAGTTGTTTATCAAATTGAAATGGTTTGTATATATAAATGTGTTAATGGTGCTGCTTTGACCACAGTAACAGTTTGTTTTAGTAGGTTTAGCACCATCATCAACTGCTCACCCCCCTCCCCTCTGGCAGGAGGCTGCGTTCCATCGGGACCAAAACCTCTCGCCACCTGAACAGTTTCTTCCCCTCCGCTACCGGCCTCTTAAACAAGGCCGGCCCCCCCACTGACACTTTACCTCAGCCACATCATAGACTATATGCATTACATTAATGCACACAATGTCATACTCCTTATTTCACATTTCATAGTTCATATTCTAAAATTCATTCATAGCATTCTATTCCCATGTAAATTACTGCTTTATTTAATTTGTATTGCTATTTAACTGTATTTTATTTTATTACGGTGTAAAAGATTATGTGTTTTATATTAGATTTCTTGTTTTTTACATTTTATGCATGCACCATGACATCAAGTCAAATTCCTAGTATGTGCAAACCTACCTGGCAATAAACCTGTTTGATTCTGATTCTGATCATATTCAATTAGAGAAAAAGTGTTGAATTTTGGAAAGCTTTTTTCGTGACATTTTCACTTTGACTTAATAACACTCATTATTAGAAGTGTTTGGATCACACAAGTCAAAAAACGATTCTTCACATTCACCACTGAAATGCAATTCCCCAAAAATGGTATAATAATAGTATTCATAACAGTACATCCTAAATGATATCTGCAGCTGTACAGAACGGGCTTGTTTAAACTGGATAAATAGACATGAACAAAAGGCAGCTTTGAATTCGTTATAAATTAAGCTTTAAAGCGTCACACTATCCTGTCCAGCCCTAAATCCGACATATAGGAAATCAAACTGTATCACCTGCTATATAAGATTCAATATCAAGCTCTCTTTCCATGGGCATAATTAACCACCAATACAAGAGCTTTTTCTTTTTCCTCCTCTGACTTTATATTCGTAAAATGCTTTCCATGTATTTTATCCTTTTCTTTGAAGAGTGGCGTGGGCACCGGGGAGCCGCTGGTCGAGAGCTGGATCTACAAGTCTGATTACAAGCCGGCACTCTTAATTAAAGTTACACAGGTCTGAGTCAAAGGCTTTCTGACTGGTGTTGGTTTTTAAAGACATCTCGTCACACCTCGCTAAGCATTGCTGTAATTCGCAGCCACTCCCGATGTGTCCACAAAAAAAACTTGGCTTACTCTTTTCTCTCCAGCTTAAGAAGGCACAGCCAATTTAAGCCTGCTACTTTTCAGAAACCGGCCCCAAAACATCAATCATAGAGAGCTGAGAGAACCGTTCAGATTGGAGAGGTTCAGATTCAAGAGGCGGCCCCGAATTCTGATTAATTTCATATACCTGACAGGCAAAGCACATTTAAGGGATTAAGACATATAATGGGACATTTGGAAACATAAATGATGCAATAAAAAACACAGTCTGAGAAAATGTATTCCTACGAAGTGACAGAACAGAATTTTAAGTGTTTTTTTTCGTAAGGAAAGGAAGTCAGGGGAAAGATTTATGACTTAAGACTATACACGCAGCATTTTAGAAAATATAAATTCATTTCTGCCGCCATGAACAACACATCCTTACTACTGGGGCTTGTTTAGAGGAGTAGGGATATCCAGTTGTCTGAAATTCTTAGAGAGAAAAGCAGAACATCTCGTATTTTTTGTCCAGATCTTTGAGTCTGATAAAAAAAAAAACTCTATACAGATCAGCTTCTTTGATGCCGTTTTGGACAACTCCCCATTCCTGGTGCCTGTTCAGAGAAGCAGGTTTATCCAGGGTTATAGGACAATCCTTGCTTAGAGAAAACCAGAAAAGCTGTCCATATTTGAGTCAGACTTTTAAAAAAAAAAAGCTACCCAGATCTTCTTCTCTGATGCCGTTTTCGACAACAACTCATTATTTCTCGAGCTTGTTCAGAGAAGCAAATTTATTTGAAGAAAACCAGAAAAGCTTTTTGAATTTTCCTCCACATTTTTGGAGTTTGACTGTAACACGCTACCCAGATCTGTCGCTTTGAACAGGTGAATGCACAATGTGTGTGTTTTAGCAGTAGGTATTTACCTGGTGGGGCGACCATTCTCTGCCATTTTTGGAAGAGGCAGGTCTTGAGACAGTCGCGGGGGCTGAGGTTGTACGTCTTGTGCCTCGACATGAGCTCCTGCATTGGCTCCAGGATGACACACAACTGCTGGCACGATGCAAAAAAACACAAGTGCGAGTTAAAGGCAAGCCAAGGCATGTTTATCTACAAAGCACATTTAACAACAAGGACATTCAAAGTGCTTTAGAGTTGAAAAGGCATTAAGACATGGAGCGACAGACACAAATGATAAAAGTATGGTTCAAAACATTTAAAACTCATTCAAATTCAAGATAATACAAATAACAGCAAACCAAATTAGAATGAGAAAGGTAAAATACAGTAATACAAGTTACAGTGTTAGATATTAATAGTTATTTGATTGATAAAAGGCAGCACTAAATAGAAAAAAATGTTGTCCTAAAAAGCAGCGTGAGTTTCAGGAGACCTGTAGTTTTTTGGGAATGTGTTACGGATATGTTAAAGCAGATGAACTCAACATTTGATTGGAGAACTGTTTCCTGTCCACTGCTGCAGCATCATATCAAGGTGAAGCAAAATAACGTCTATAGAAACAACAAGATTGTTTCTCAATTTATCGCCAACAGACTGACTTAAAAGGATTAATTGTGCAGTAAATCTACCTTTTAGAGACCCTATTAATAAAGTACTTTTGAAAAACAGGTTATTGTGAAGCTTTAGAAAGAAGGAGGATCATTTTTAATAAGAGCAGCCGTTGCTAAGCTGTTTACACAGCAACAAACACGTTCCAACACACACTTGGAGAACACAGTATATCCTCTTCTCCCACACTGAACTCCAGCATCATTCTGAAGGTAAAAGACTTTGAGTACGATATTCAGTGTGGAGCAAACTATACATCTCTAGTGATTAGCAGGGAGGAACCAGGGGTCAGCCTGTCGTCTTAAATACATCAGATAAAAACATCTGGATAACATTACAGGTCAGCCCCCCCGCCCTCTTTCTTCAATAGCAGAAACCATCCAAATGCTTGTTGGTTTAGAGGACAGTGTTAGGAGTTATTGTTGAACATTGTTAGGATCAAAGTCCAGACAACCTGCCCGTATTTTTTCCTACTTGCCAACCTTGAGACCTCAGAAACCGGGAGCATTTCAAAACCACCGCGGGGGCGGGGGGGGGGGTTATCATGCTTATTGTAGTTCTAAGTGCACTGCTTTGCGGCCTGCAGCATGGATGGAGCATATGTGTGGGCTGGACCTGTATTTTACAGGAAAGGAGTGAGCAGAGGGTCGAGTTGTCGATTCTTGTTGTTTTCTGTGACTATCTGCCTCACCCTCTCAGACTTTCAGTTGCGCTGCTAAAGAGACGCGCTACCATGGAAACCAAACAATTATTAAAGTCCGAGTGGAAACAGTCGTGATTAATCTGATTTAGTCAGAAATCGGGAGAAATGCGGGAGAAATATGACCCCGGGAGGTAACTGGGAGAGGGCAATGACATCGGGAGTCTCCCGCGAAAATCGGGAGGGTTGGCAATATGCTCTAACAGGATAAAACTTTATTTTTCTTTGTGAGTTCTTCTCCATCTTTAAAAACGTGACAACTTTACCCATTTCTCCTAGTTTCTTGATACTCATAACATCCTTAGTTTTTAGATAATCATGAACAGAGCAAGGTTTTGAACAATGCTGTATTAACGCTGTTGTTGGTACACAAATAGATACATTAAGAAGCCTGGGAACGTGTGAATCGCCTGTGAATACAAATTATGAATTTCCAGGAAATTGGAAAATATATGAGAGAAAAAGTTCAGATATTATCGGACGTCAATTATGAAAATGTTTCATTGTTGATGGGTTTATATCTTCTGTTGGTTTGCTTACTTTTTGTATTTTTTATTCCTGTGCAACGTCTTTTTACATGCTGCTGTAACAAAATACATTTGGGATCAATAAAGTATATCTTATTTAATCCAATCAAATCAAAATCTTAACCTCATTAGTAACAGATCAGGGTTTAGGTTATAACTTCTTGATTGCGGTTAGAAAACACTTATGATTTTGCTTATAACTAATGTTGAATAAAGACAATCAGCAGACTCCTGTGACAATGACCAAGGAGAACACATAAGAAAATATTAAATTAAATGTCAGATTTTCATTTCCGTTCACTAATCTTAACCCTTTATAGCCGCGGTACAGCTGACCTGGATGTACAGTATTTGCTACTTGTGTTTCCCACAGTGTGTGATTTAAGGTAAAAAACGATACAGTAATAACAGGCCTGGCTTTACTAACTTGCTCAAGGGCACTTTGACGCTTGTTACTGAGAAAAGGGAGACTGTTAATCATTCCCTGCATGCTCACATGATCTCATCTGACCTTCAACATCCCACCAGCCCTACATTTCTGATGTCAATTCTAATCAACATGCACATCCTGTCTGCAGCCCTACTGTACCGCAACTTGGAGGTAAAAAAAACGAAAAAAAACAAGGGCACGTTTCATGTACTGTATCTATTTCCTTACTACTGTGTGTATAAAAACAGGCGTGGAGGCTTTTATACAAATCACCTGACAACACCAGGAGCAGAAATGTTTTAGCGCGATGATTATCAAACCAGGGGTTGTTCACCAGTCCTGGGTTTGAAAACTAGTCGTTGTAACAACCGTGGCTGCTTACGCCAAATTACCCCACGTAAACATAGTAATGTGTGTTCCCCGTGTTAGGCAAAAGGCAGTGTTTTGATGCCTTGCAGCTCGAGGTAAAGTGAACATCCCTAGCAGACTAATCCCATGTTCTCTTCTGATAGTTCCCTCATGACACAGTAATATCCCTCCTCGGCTCAGCCAACAAGCCCTGGCTCTCAGCCTGAAAACAAGGGCTATTTTCAGGCTGAATAGTAGGAAGCCGGCAGCTCCGATACATGGAAAGGCTTAAATACTCCAAATGAAAAAAATCGAGTGTGTGTTTTGTGAGAGAGGCTGGTTGTAACCCCTGAGCCAGGAAACCGTCAGTCTCTCTTGGAGGGACTGATACATGCTGGGGAAGGCCTTTTCCAGAGACATGCTACTGCTGCTTTAATGTGAGGAAAGGGTGTAGTTTAATTTGAAAACCTTGGATAAGATCAGGGGAAAATATGATGTGCATTATTATGATATGATGAATAACAGAGGCTGCTAATCAGTGGTTCCCTATCCGTGGATTGTGATGATTTTTGGGCTAAAAGATATGCACGTTTGTCAGACTTTGCTTCATTCTTTTGAAATATTGTGCAGATTTATCTCTTTCAGTCCAAAATAGTCTCCAAAATGTACAAGAAAAAAACTCTTATAGTCTCTGACATTAAATTGGAACATTTAAAAATAAAACTCGAAACATTTTCGAAAAAAAACCTAGAGTTAAAATGAATATGCAAACTTTGTGTAATAATGAATAACAGTGGCTGATTATAAGTGGCTGGGGTTAGGATGATTTTGGGGCTAAAACATATTTGAGTTAGTCAGACTTTGCTCGCTTCTTTTGAAATATTGTGAAGTATTATCTCTTCCAAGCCTCAAAATAGTATCCATGTGAAATCAATGATGGGAGGCCAGTGAACAATGATTTGTTTTAAGGGTCACAAAAAGCCCCAAAAGGTTGGAAACCACTGCTTCACAGCACTTATAATCTCTTTGAAACGCTGACACTGAGCCTTCAATTCTCACGTCTGTCTTCTTGACAGTCTTCGTAAACTCAAATACATAAAGTCAATTTGAACTTCATAACATTGCTCTATTTTCTATTTTGTTGTGTTTTAAAATGTTTTTACATCATGTATGAGGGTTTTCAATCTGTGGGATGGTTGTATTGTCTCGTGCTTTTACATTAGTTTATTTTTGTCCTCTCGGTTTTGTCTAAATGTATTTATGCTGCTTTTGGTAAATGGACTGTACTTATATAGCACTTTCTCCAGTCTTTACGACGCCACAAAGCACTTTACATACTACATGTCATTCACCCATTCATACAGAGCAGTGTACCTCACTCTAGGAACTAACATTCATACACATTCACACACCGTTGGCCATCGGGAACAACTCAGGGTTCAGTATCTTGCCCAAGGATACATCGACATGTTGACTGCACGGGCTGGGATCGAACCCATAACCTTCTGGTTGAAAGACGACTGCACTCCCTCGCAGCCACAGTCGCCCATATTTTTTATATATTTATTGATGTAAAGCACTTTGGTCAACTCTATTGTTTTTATATGTGCTATATGAATAAAGTTGGATTGGATTGGATGAACTAGTGATTTAGGCCCAATCCCAAACCACTCCCTCGACCCTACCCCTCCGTGATGGAGTGAACTCCGTCTGTAGCCACACTCGCAGCTCAACGAGGCTCCCTCCTGTCAGACGGATGGAGTAAACACAGCAGCAAGCTTTGGGACGGCCTCCCCTCTCTCCGGCAGAAACAGGAAATGCCGTAACTGTATGTAACAACGGTTTCAAATCAGCATCTCTTAGACAAAAAGTTTAAATGAATAACTCAAATAAAACTCCAAACATCTTTCATTGTGTTTCAAAGCTCTTTTAGTTTTAAACCTGATGTTTATAAGCTTCTTAGTTTTTGCAACGGTCTGTAAATATACACAACTTTATAATAAAATGCACACATTTACCTTTTTCTAGACTAAACACAGGTATGATCCTAAGTTACAAACATATGAGGTTATCATGAGGTTGTTAACATCGCAGTTTATCAGTGGATGTTTGCTGGAACTACTTGTAAACAGCGTGTTTCCTGACGGACACACACAGCGTGACTCCGGTCAGGTAGAGACCGGTCTCAAGTCAGCACCAGACTCGCTGTTTGAGGGCTTGATAGCCCACTCCCCCTCCACACCGCTCCACACTCGTTGCTTTGGAACAGCCCTCAATATGGCGGAACCTCCGCGTGAACGCGCAAACGGAGCGGTAGGGTGGGGGTAGGGTGTAGGGGTAGGGTGTAGGGGACGGTTTGGGAATGGGCCTTTGTCTTCATACTTTATAGTTTGTCAATTATAAGTGGAATGAAAAATAAGCTGTTGAATTCTTCATTAAGATGAATGTTTATGGTAAAAATACAAAAGACAAACATATTGTGCTCTGGGAAAGCTCCTTAAATGTCAAAAAACACAAAAAATGATGTGAAATATTTCAGGTTTCGACCACTGAGGTAATGCGAGCCGTTTTTCGACTACTAACAATTTTGCAAAGGCTGGTAATATTTAGTCTCAAATCATAAAACGCATGTTGTCAGCAAACAGAAAAAAAGGGTGTTTCATTGTTTGTGTCTGCTAAGCATTGCCCATCAGAATCACAACAAAATAAAGAATGAACAGAAGTCAAATCTTTCAGTGTGTAATTACAGATACTTGAATTATGTGTTTTCTCTTTCAGCCGCATTACAGTTTGCGTTCTGTATGGAAAATCATTGTTATAGGAAAACAAAAACAGCCACCCTGCCTCCTCTCCCTCTCTGTGTTTTTCTTCAGCTTTTTTATAAGCAGCCGAGGTGCTGTTCCCTGATTCGCGCGCCATTTCACAATTATGAGTCTCAACAGGGAGCGTTCATTAATGTTATGCTAATTTTCTGTATCCAATTAATTCTCCCCATCTCTCGCCCGCTCGCTCTTGTTCTCCCATTTGGAAATCGTAGCTGTCAGTCAACTGTGGCGTCGAGAAACACAAACAAAACCCTGTGAAATAACCACTAATGTATTCAGCCGGTTTATACTTCCTATTACCGTAAATGATATTGCTTCGCTCAGGTACAAAAACACGTATATGCTGAGAGTAAAGAAGTGCTTATATATTTTTGTTTTGATGCAACCTACTTTTGAAATTATACACTCGGGTTTCAAACGACCGTGAGTCATAAAGCCTGTTCAGCACATTAATACCGGCTTTCCATTGCAGTAAGACTGGAAAATAATAACATTTACAGCCACGATATGGCCTTAAATAACTCAAATGTTAACAAGAGAATGTAAAAGTGCAGAGCTCTAAAAAAACGGTATTATTCTAACACTTAATGTAAATGAAATACAATTTTACAGATTTACTACAGAGTCAAGGTTGTAAAGCCAAGGAACATATTAAATATGACAAACGATGAACATAATACATTATACAAACATCTTTATGCCATCCAGACACATAAGTGTAAGAGATTTTGTTAAAAAGAATGATAAACATGAATCACTTCATTTAAAAATGGACAAGAATTGTTCCTCTGTGTGTATACAAGTGTGAGGAGATGAGAAAAAAAGAAAAGCAGGATGAGACAGACAGACAGACAGACAGACAGACAGACAGACAGACAGACAGACAGACAGACAGACAGACAGACAGACAGACAGACAGACAGACAGACAGACAGACAGACAAGACAGACAGACAGACAGACAGACAGCAGACAGACAGACAGACACGACGACATACAGACACAGACACACACAGACACACACACAACACCACACACACCACACACACCACACAACACACACACACACACACACACACACACACACACACACACACACACACACACACCACACACACACACACACACACACACCCACACACACACACACACACACACACACACACACACACATCACTCCAGGGGACATTACATTGACTGACTTACATGCATTTCCTGGAGACTTATCCTAACCTTAACCATAACCAACACATGCCTAACCCTAACCCTTAACCTAACCAAGTCTTCACCCTAAAATTAATGATCCCCCTCATGGGGACCTCCAATTTGTCCCCATAAGGGATGCGAGTCCCCACACGTGACTGTGCAAACAGATGTAGGTCCCCACAAGTATAGTAATGCTAGGCCACACACACCACACACACACACACACACACACCACACACACACACACACACACACACACACACACACACACACACACACACACACACACACACACACACACACACACACACACACACACACAGACACACAGACACAGAGTCCTTACCCTGAGGTAGTTGAGAGTGAAGTTGGTCAGGCCCATGCGAGTGATGTTTTTGGACAGCTGTTCCATCACCTGAGGGTCTTGTGCCTGAAGTCAGCAAGCAGAGAAATAAAAAATGAAATACAAGCTGTATTATTTCCCCACATCTTTACTTTGCTATGTTTGCGTTCAACCGACTAGGAATAAACCAATTATCTTCAGACAATTAGGCTAATTGGCGTTCATCAGATAATGCGCATTCAACACATTCACACCCTCGAGTCATAACCTGCTGAACGTTGTTGTGGCTGCTGTGACGCTCAATCAAGTATTTCAGACCCTCATTTCACACTATTGTCAAACTGTGAGGCTAATTAATCAATATTATTGTGTCATTCCATTTAAATTCCCACATATTTTTCAATTTTGTATCTTTGCTGGATTTAATGAAGTTGCTCAATTAGTTTAATACGTTACTGCAAACACATGCAGATCAAAAACACTCAAAAACACTTACTGTATATGTTGTGCTTTTTGTGAGGAGACAGCAGAGGAAATTAGTTTGAGTTTAAGTTGGAAAAGCCGGCAAATGCTGCCAACTTTTTTATTTTATGTATCTTCCCTTTTCTGATGTGACAGCTGGCGGATGCATCATTCATATACAGTACAATATAAAGAACTGACTGAATAAATCAACTGATTGCCAAATATGAACTTCTTAGAAACCCTGTGATTAGACAGAAAGTGTAGGAGTGAGAAATATATGCTACATAACAACAAAGCAAAAAATGGCCATTATAGGATGAGGTCTGATTGAAATAAAGTATGTTTTATATAACTGAGTGTTGGAATCATAAAAAGCTGCAGGTATTGACGGAGGAAAACACAGCGCAGACTGAGGAGAAGCACACTTGCATCCACCGCCTCATGAAAAATGCATAATTCTATCTCCAGTCGCATCGCTGTGTGGAGAAAAAGTCAAGAGGGAAGAGTTCCTCCGTCAGCAGAGCCACGTGAGTGACGGGAGAATTGAATTAGTGTGCATTATTGGCTGGTGGCGGATCAGAATCTGAATTACTTTACTCATCAAGTGGAATGAGTCTAAATGCACTGATCAACAATTTGTGGAGGAACACGAGAAAAATACGCTGACACATATGATGCAGGGACCAAACAGACTCTCAGTTCAAGGGGCCAAACACAGATATGTTGTATCTGTGACACGCTGCATTACTGTTTACAACATCTGTCAACAGTTTATCTGCATACATTTGAATTTATTAGTAAGTAAAATACTTGAATTCTTCACTACTTCACTACCTTGTGTGTACCAGATTATTCATACGGTGTGTGTGTGTGTGTGTGTGTGTGTGTGTGTGTGTGTGTGTGTGTGGCCTAGCATTACTATACTTGTGGGGACCTAAATCTGTTCACACAGTCACGTGTGGGGACTCGCCTCCCTTATGGGGACAAATTGGAGGTCCCCATGAGGGGAATCATTCATTTTAGGGTGAAGACTTGGTTAGGTTAAGGGTTAGGGTAAGGTTAAGGGTCAGGGTTAGGCATGTGTTGGTTATGGTTAAGGTTAGGATAAGTCTCCAGGAAATGCATGTAAGTCAATGTAATGTCCCCTGAAGTGATGTATACATGGTATGTGTGTGTGTGTGTGTGTGTGTGTGTGTGTGTGTGTGTGTGTGTGTGTGTGTGTGTGTGTGTGTGTGTGTGTGTGTGTGTGTGTGTGTGTGGAGCAGATGTTTGGGAGGGGAAACTTTTTGTTTTATCTGTATGTATCTATGTTTTTATTACCTCTGTGTTTTCAGCACACCTGGAAGGAAACTAACCTTTAAGAAGAACAATGACTCCTGTACTTTACTTATTAGAGTTTTATAGATACTTTTGTATGGCTTTATTATACGGTATATATAAGGTTTCTTGAAGATGTATATGAAACATCCAAACAGTCTTCAAAATGCTGTTTAGATAACTTATAATAATGTTGTTAAATGGTGCCATTTAGTGAGTCAATTACATTTTAATACATGCTTCTGTACCTTTACTTAAATAACATTATGAATGGACTTTTACCTATACATGTGTATTTATTTAATCCTTCTTTTAGTTGAAGTTATGTTACTTTTACTTTGTTGAAAATCTGAATGATTGCAACACTGCTTTTTTATAGTAAAAAGGGGATAGTAAAATGAAACCTGAGTAAACATCAAGTTTTGTTTAGGGACTTAATGAAGGTGAAGGTTTATCGCTGACTGCCTACTCGCACAATAAACCATTGTCAAGACAGATTTAAGAAAAGGTAATAAAGTATTGACACAAATATCTTATTAGACAAAAATCGATTGACAATTTTGTTTCTGACATCAATACAGATGAGTTTCTGAAGTCAGCATCTAGTGGGCGTTACAGGAAGTGCAAAAACAAACTGTCCTCTCATCTTAATTCCTTGTGTACATTTTTCACAGTGGGTAGAAATGTAAATTATGTTCTTGTACTTTTTCTAAAGCTGTGTGCTTCTACTTCTCTAAGATTATTAATGTTTGGCACAATTTCCATCCCTGAACACACTTCTAGCATATATGATAAATGGGATTTTTATAGCGCTTTTCCTAATGCTCAAAGACGCTCATAAAATCAGAAATAAATGAACAATCTATGATATCAAATTCTTCCTATTTCCAGGCAGGTTCCTCTTGATTGACTATTTCAAAAAAGAGCACTAGTTGATCACTTCACATCAAAAGTGAGCGTTTCACAGTTAATAACTGCTATCTGCCGTTTCAGCCTTCCTGTTCTGACTCCCTCGTGTGCGGATCTGCTTTCATTAGTCTGGGCTACGATGATCAAAAGACTTGCGCACACAGATCACTGCAGATCTGGCCAGGACAATATCCCACTCTCCAGGAATTAGTGTGAATACCCACAGGGGCCAATTTATTGGTGAGTGAAATTCATATGAAGGTATGGCCAAAGACAGCTATACCGGCGAAGCCTCCACTTTGGGGTCCACAGGGGTAAATGGAAAATACTCTGAATAAAATGTGTTTTTCTCATCGATCGTATGGACTGAGCTGTATAGAAATGGTATTATTTAAACAGAAAACCAATGTAAGAGCATTGAAAAGGGCTTTTTTATGTAGAGTTCTTATGTAGACTCTATGCATTACATTAATGAACACAATGTACAACAATATTTTGTATTACTGCAGATTTGTATTCCATATTGTATTCCTTCCATTCCATTCCATTGCAATGTAAATACTGTTATATTTTATTTGACTATATTATTAATTATTTTAAATATTTTTCTAGTTCTCTACCTGTGTTTTTAATTCTTGATGAAAGCCCTTTTAAGACAAGATATTTGTAACATTTCTGGCTTCATCTATGTTTTAAAGTAATGGCTTTTGTCATTCAGACGGTGTTTATGTTAATGTTTCAAACATGACATTACATTTAGGATAAGAGAGGAGGCGTCATCACAAACAGATGTGAGTTGAAAAGTTTAATGATATAAAGGAAGTAGAGTGTTCTCTCGTCTCTCTCATGCTGCATCAATAGCTTTCCCTTGAGGCTTTAATTTATGACGATATTGAGAGACTCTTCGAGTAAATCTCCCAATACATTTACCTATCAAATTCATCACTTCTTAGGAAGCGAACCCTGCAGACTCTTGTACAAATATGTTAGTTTCCACAATCAATTTAATGGATGTTCTTTTAAGTTAAGTTGAACGATATATGAAGGGAAACAGCTGGTCTAATTAAGTTTGAAGTTATGTATTGTCATATGCACAACAGTTACAGAGCAGCAGTTATTTGCAACGGAGATCCCAGGCTCCCTTCAGCAAAGCTCACTAAACACGAATATCACAGAAGCAAAATAAATATGCATGTTTCTATCGTCTTGCTACAGTATGGTAGGTTTTGATTATCCTTCTTTTGAACTAATGTTAATACAAAGTTGGTTTAAAATTATGTTTCTACAAGTTTAAACAAAAATAATACTTCTTCATTTCACCTCAAGGTTAAGGGATTATTCTCTTTTGACATATGGAGGAAAATCTCCCTTAATAAACATAAAATTGGTGAATTTGAAGTTAATATACTCTGGTCATTGTCATTAGGCATGGGAGAACTATTAAAGATTATAATCAAACACACTGCAGGTGCATTTCTTTATTTACTCTTTAAGTGAACTCAACAGCATTCAAATCAGGCGTTAGCTGAGTGAAGCGTTGATGCAGAAATGTTAGCATGTCCCACAAACAGTAGTGAGATTACTTTCATAACTTTACGATAAAACCGAGTCAGGCTCCTGATAAAAATTGACGACAAAGAGAAACATGTCTGAAGGGGATTAAGAGGAGTTGTGTAACACGTAAAAGCACCTTTTTATAACAATGGGATAGCACTTAGCTAAATGTTACAAAAACATGTATCTTATTTGAACTTTTAAGGCTTACTTTTGGTGCATGTTTTTGCTGCTGTTTGAAGTAGTGCTTAACCAGAAAGTTGTTAATGTTATTTAAATTATCCGAGCCTCCGCAGCTCCAGTGACTAAATGTGTGTTACACTTGGTGGACTAAAGGGTTATTCATTACTTCATTTAAAGAAAACCTTCTGCTCCAGCTCCCTCCGCACTCCGTGCTCGTGCCTTGGAATGAACCCCCCCACTCTTGCGACACCTCCTGTCTCTCGTCTCTCACTCATCCTCTTCTTATCGCCCTCTCCCTCTCTATCTACTCTCTCATCCTACCGCTCTACTCTCTCTCTCTCTCTCTCTCTCTCCTCTCTCTCTCTCTCTCTCTCTCTCTCTCTCTCTCTCTCTCTCTCTCTCTCTCTCTCTCTCTTTTATCCTCGTGGCCTTTGATGTCTGCAAATAAATTGGTTTGCAAAAATCCCTCCAAACTGCTTTGTCGGCGTTTACATTTCATATGGCTCATGAATAGCTTCTAAAAGATTCCCGGCAGAGTGCACAGACCCTCGTTAGGAGTCCAAAAAGTGACACCTATATTGTCGCGTGTTGATGATGTCACACTCACGTGCATGGCCAGGATGCTGCGGGGGATGAGCTCTCGGTACTGCCGGATGGTGAAGTGCCACGTCTTGATCCTCATCAGATCATCGAAGGCGAACTCCAGTATCAAACGGCCCTCCGTACAGACCTGCAACCACAGATCACATTAGTTAGCGTTACTGTAGGGGCGAAGACTTAAAGGTCCCCTACTATACTGTTCAACATATTATAGGTCTCAGAAATATACAAAACATGTCTCTGAAGTGTTTGGCTCCAAACACCAAACAGATCATTGCAGCATTACCCATAATCCCCTCTGTTTCAGCCCTGTTTCAAAAGGGCTGATTCTCTGTCTGTTACTTTAGATGAGAATAAGGAGCCCCTCCCCACGCCCCTCTGAGAGAGATTTGGTTACAAAGAACTCAATAGTGCTCTAGGAGGAGATTCAGGTGATAAGGTGGGGGGGGGGGGGGGTTACCTTGGTTGGTGATTGGCTAATGGTTACACAAGTCAAAACATCGTTATGACATCATAAAGTGGCCAAAATCTGATCAGCTCATTTTCAGACAGGTTTTTATATAAATGGATCAGGACAAAAAGAGAGAGAATCTTTGTTCCTGAAACGTTAAGAATCTCTTTCCACAGAGGGGACACATGTTGATGTAGAAGAGACATGAACAAGTGGATTTTGCATAATAGGTGACCTTTAAAGAAATATAACAGGAAGTTGAATCATAATAAAACTGTCGCTGGGGCACCAGTAAGGCAATCTTACGAAGGGGGAAATGATCCAATGTCCAGGCAAGAACGTTGTTTGGTGTGTTTATTTGGGATTATCCAATATTATACAGAGCAATGGTTAAACCTGTTGTTTTTCCTGTTGTGTAGCCTTAACATATGCTGGTGCGCCAATCCCACCACAACCTGTGTCCAATATATACATAATCAAGGTGACACAATCAACCGGTGCCGATAATAGCTTTCAAAATAAAGCATACAGAATTACTGTGAATTACTAAAATAGTTAATTATTGAATAACGATTAATTTAATATAAACGAAAGCAGCAAGATAATAAATATTTACCATTAAATAACATAAATCCATCCAAAAGTTTACATTTTCTACTTGACATCACTTCTTAAAGTATAGCGAGCTGCCGTCCGCTGATGAAAGAAGGAATCAGTGTTTGTTGGTCGGGTGTGATTTTGATAAAATAAAATTATGGAAGGGTTTTTTCGTCTCTGTTTTTGGTAATTGTTCAAGGGCTCTGTCGAGCTATTATGCTCCCAATATTTACTCCTTCTCGCTTGCCTCATTCAGAGCATCTGTCCTTGGGCCTCTCACAAACCATCCAGCTATTTCTAAAAATGTGAAAATAAATGTAATCTGGAGAGGGGTGTGTTTACACCAGAGACAAAAGAACTTGGCAGGTCAGAGAGACTTGCCAATTAGGAAGGGAGAGACAGAGAGGGAGAGAGACAGAGAGACAGAGAGAGAGAGAGTAACATTTATTTTTTTTCGCCCCTTTAGCTGAATTCAGGGCCCTTACGCTTCTCCCATATTCTGTTGCTGTGACAACCAGTGAGAGAGAGGAGAGAGACGGCGAGAAGAGGGGGGTAGAAAAAATATATCAGCTGATTAGTTGGCATGGCAACCGCAAAGATGTAATCCCACCAGACACACTCTAATCAATGCCCCCAGCGCAGATGGTCTCCTGAGGATCAGCAAGAAAGAGGCTAGCGGCCATATTGCACCCCCAACAACCCCCCCCCCCCATACACTCCTCCTCACCCTCTTTCCCCACAACCTTCCCCTCCTGATCACGTGCTACAGTGCTAACTCCAACACACACACACAAACACACACACACACACACACACAAATATATATAAATAGAGGCTCCAAAAAACCCTGAGCTCCTGACTGAAATGTGGATCCAGTAACGTTCTCACTCTTTGTGCAGAGATTATAAAAATGTAAACATAAAGACAGTTTTGTTCCATATTCTGATGACTAGTTTTAAGCTGAGTGTTTAAAATGTTTGAAGAATTAAAGCTGCAACAATTAGTGGACTTACTGTATCCATAGGTCGATAAACAAGTAACTATATTGAAAATTGCGTATTAATTAAAGTTATTAAGATGCAAACAAAAATAATTTCTGCTTTTCTCTGTTTTTATAAGACTGAAATAAATATATTTTGGACTGAAGAGACAAGACATTTAAAGAAATCCCCTTGAACCTAACCAACGTAGATATATATTTTTCACTACTATCCGACACTTTACTAAGAAAACGATTTATCGTCACTAGTTACAGCTTTTTAAAGAACAGCAACTTTTGATAGACGTAATTACACATTTAGTTAGCACACGACTATTGTCACTACACCATACCTCCTCCTTGAATATATACATTTCAGTCAGACAACTCACGTGTTTCTTTAACATGTGTTTTAGAAGCAGCATATAGTTGAGTTTGGCGTCTAGGCTCGGGCCTCATCACTCCACAGATATACATAGCACGATGAGTGATGATTAAATAACTAACCCCCCCGAGCCTACAGGTGGAAGCTGGGGTGGTGGTGGGGCAGGCAAGCAGCAGCGACGTGGAAGTAGCTGCAGCAATAGCAGCAGCAAGCAATGCATGGAGAGAGATCTGGCAGGTTAAATAGGGCGGAATATTAAGGAGACTCTGTTTGGTTGGTTGTAGAGTGGCAAGGGGGCGTTATGTATGAATGCAGCATAAGTGCTCGAGTTGACTGCCTGAACTAGCTCGCAGGCTTCGCCACATTTATGGATGTGATTACTATGGGAAAAAATCTAGCAATAACATACTGTATTCAACAATGTACAGTCAAGTAAAATGGCTTGAATAACGTATTATTACTACATCATTTACTTTTAAAGAGCGTATTTATATAACACTTTGTATACTTGAATACATTATATAGTTTAGTTTATTTATTTATAGTGTCGTGGACAGTCCCCATCGATGAACTGTCACAAAAACAGTAAATGGTGCAGCTTTAGCCGACATGGCTAATTTCCAGCTGTTGTCCCCGGCCAGATGGTAATAGACACCCTTAAAATTACAATATATCAACAGCATTAGTTATAAGAAAATATATAAAATAAGATAAAAAGGAGGAAAGACAAGTAGATACCGGTGTGAGGATAAAAGAGATACAGTACATGTCACATATAGCACATCACAATCACATCACAGAAACGAGGGGCAACATCCATGATCACAACATGTAACACTCACGCCATACTCAACACAGACTAGTGTGTGCAGGTGTAGTTCTCAGTGAACCATGTTTTTAAGTGAGCTGTGAAGGTGGGATGTGTATGTATGTCTTTGATTTGAGTGGGTAGAGAATTCCAGTTTTGTATTGCTATAGTAGATTCTATTAGTTGTGCTCATATCTTATCATGGCTGCAACAGTTGCACAGCTGGATTTACATGATGTACTTATATTGTATTGTAATGTGAATATTTGAAAATGTTCTTCCTTGCTGTGTTTTATTCATTTCTTGTTTTTCCATGTTCTGGTGGAGAGAGTCTTGACTTTACTGCAAGTGTTTTTCCCTTCTTCTGAAACTAGTTGTATTGCATGTTGGAAATCAACACTTCACCGACAATTCAGAGTGCTTTTTTTGTGCAAACACATCTGGCATCTGCGTGGTTGGATAATGTGGTTTGTCTAAGCTAGATAAGTGTGGATTAGACTAAAACAATGTTTGAAAAATAATCCTTGGTGTTTAATGGACGCTGAAAATAGTCTTTATGTTATTTTTTCATATTTTAGTCTCAGTCCAACAGCAGTTTGTCCACCGGCTGACCAGAGGGAAAGGGAGGATGCAAAATGACGTCATGAAACCACAACACAACTTTAAAAACGTATGTTCTCAAGACATCTAAGTGTGATTTGTTGATTCAAGACAAATATGAACATTAAGATTAAGAAAGAAAAGCAAAAACAATTAGGAACCTTCATATAAGTAATTGTTTTTTAGATACTATATGATAACTTGGATATACTAAGTCATTATTTTAAGATACTATGTCATAATCTTTAAAAAATACATCATTTTTTTAAGGTACTAAGTCAATATTTCAATGTCCTAAGTTACTATTTTGAGATACTAAGTCATTGTTTTGAGATACTTAGTCATTATTTTAAGATACTATGTCATTATTTTAAAAACTGTGTCATTATTTTGAGATACTACGTCATTGTTTTGAGATACTAAGTGATAACTTGGAGATACTAAGTAATTATTCTGATATACTTAGTCATTATTTTGAGATACTAAGTCATTGTTTTGAGATACTAAGTCATTGTTTTGAGATACTATGTGATAACTTGGAGATACTAAGTAATTATTCTGATATACTTAGTCATTATTTTAAGATATTATGTCATTATTTTAAAAACGACCTCATTATTTTGAGATCCCAAGTCAATATTTCAATGTCCTAAGTCACTATTTTGAGATACTACGTCACTATTTTGAGATACTACGTCACTATTTTGAGATACTATGTGATAACTTGGAGATACTACAGTAAGTAATTTTTCTGATATACTTGGTCATTATTTTAAGATACTATGTCATTATTTTAAAAACTGTGTCATTATTTTGAGATACTACGTCATTGTTTTGAGATACTATGTAATAACTTGGAGATACTAAGTAATTATTCTGATATACTTAGTCATTGTTTTGAGATACTATGTCATTATTTTGAGATACTAAGTCATTGTTTTGAGATACTATGTGATAACTTGGAGATACTAAGTAATTATTCTGATATACTTAGTCATTGTTTTGAGATACTATGTCATTATTTTGAGATACTAAGTCATTGTTTTGAGATACTATGTGATAACTTGGAGATACTAAGTAATTATTCTGATATACTTAGTCATTGTTTTGAGATACTATGTCATTATTTTGAGATACTAAGTCATTGTTTTGAGATACTATGTAATAACTTGGAGATACTACAGTAAGTAATTTTTCTGATATACTTGGTCATTATTTTAAGATACTATGTCATTATTTTAAAAACTGTGTCATTATTTTGAGATACTACGTCATTGTTTTGAGATACTATGTAATAACTTGGAGATACT